AATAAAGTGTTTGTAAATGGGGAGGGGAGGAGGGGGTGAAGGGAGGGCAGGGACAAGGGGAAAAATGAGAATCAAGACCTATTATGTAAAGGTACAGAATCCCAATGATGAATGTAATTGTATTATATACCTAGATTGTACCAATAACCTCAATAAAAAGAAAAAAAAAAAAGAAACAAGGGCCGGGGATTTAGCTCAGTGGTTCCACCACCTGCTTTGCAAGCATAAAGACCTGAGTTTGACCCCTGGTACAATAAAAAGAAACATAAAAGCAAATCTATTTTGAGGACTTTGGAAACTAACTCAAACAGAACTGTTAAAAAAAAAAAAAATCAAAACAAGATGGGATATCTGATTACAGATTATGGGTTATATAATGCTAAGAAACTGTTAATGTTATGTGTGATAACAGCACTACAGTTAAATAAAATGTGGTTAAGTATGATGGTTAATTAAAAATGCATAAAGTATAATGTCTAGAATTTTTTTTTTTTTTTGAGACAGGGTCTCACTGCACAGTTGAGACTGACCTGAAACTCACTATGTAGCCCAGGCTGGTCTTGAACTCACAGCAATCCTCCTGCCTCAGCCTCCCGAGTGCTGGGATTACAGGCCTGCCTGGCTAATGTCTAGAATTTGCTTTTAAATCCTTCAGCAAACTAAAAAGCGAAAAATGAGGGCCAGGGATTCAGCTCAGAGGTTCTGCCGCCTGCCTCGCAAGCACAAGGACCCGAGTTCAATCCCTAGCACCAATAAATAAATAAATATATAGCGAAAGATGATAAAAATAAAAATTATATACTGGCTACATTTTAAGATTTTGGTAACTAATAATTCTGTGTGATGGTTAAAAGATGCATTATATTCTCTCCAATCTAAGTTTAAAATTTCTCATATTTGTTTAATATCATATTATCAATGCATACACTTTAAAAAATAACACTGTATATACATTTACTTACATTTTCAAATCTGATGACACATCAGAACTTAAAAAAAAAAACAACAAAAATCTTAGGCCCCAGTCCAAATCAATTAAACCAGAATCTCTGGGGCTGAAGCCCAAGGACAAGTTTTTTTAAGAGGTCCCCAAGTGATTCAAATGTATAGCCAGGATTAAGAACCACTACTCACAATGAAATGACCCATGTTCTCTAAAATATGTATTAAGAAGATTTCTCACAAAACAATGTCAAGGAGGAAAATTTTTAATATCCACAAGCATTATATTATTAAGACTTGGAAAACAGTATAATTCTCAAGAAAAATAAATTTTCAATTTATTCATGAGATATGAAATAAAGGCTGTCAAACATCTCATACCTGTATTATTTTACCAACTTATAATGGTATACTGTTTGCAGTTTATCAAATGTTTTATCTAAATTCACTGACTCTCATAACAACCTTGATCAGGTAGGGCATGTGTAATTATTAATCATCTCTTATAGAAGAAGAAATTGGAACTCAAAGCCATTTAAATGACTTACCAAACTCACTGTGCTGGTAAAAGTCTAAGTCAAGAATAAAACCTAGGGGGCCAGGGATTTAGCTCAATGGTTCAGCTGCCTGCCTCAAAAGTGCAGGGTCTGGAGTTCGATCCCCAGCACCAAAACCAAAAAAACAAAACAAAACAAAAGAATAAAACCTAGGTTTTTTCTGACCCCCTAGTCAAATATCCATCCCAGGAGATATGGCCCAAAACAAACCTCTGTTCTGGTTCCAGTCATGGGCATCACCAAGCTGATTAACATTATACCTGTACCCATCTTGATGGTGAAAATAGTCATCAGTGCTGAACACAATGCCATCACGACTCTGACCAAGCAGAATTCTGTTAATAAAAGAAATCATAAAGGATATCATTTATAAAATCAATAACCACCAAAAATACACCACATAGAAAAGATTAAATAAAATTTCTGATACGGAAGTGCTGTATATTATAAGCAGAATAGCACAGAGGCTGAACAACTTTTAAAAGCTCTCAAATTTCAAACATTAGTTCATACTGAAATCTACACAGTTACAGCCAGGATTAAAAACTTTTTAAGTGAACATTATTTTTGCAACTTTATCTTTTTTCTTTTCTTTTTTGGTACCGGGGATAGAACTCAGGTCCTTGTACTTGTGAAGTAGGCAGCGGTGCCAGTGATCTAAATCCCTGGCCCTATTCTTGCAACTTAAAAAAAATACTCTTTATCCAACCTCAAACCAATGTTCGAATTTTAGTGTGTTCGTATTTGGTGTTTAAGTAGGTTCAATCTGGTGCACCACAAAAACTAAAATGGAAGTAAGATTAAGCAAGCAATTCATCTCGGAGAAACCATATTTGACCCAATACAGTTTGGTAAATTCATTTCAACGAAACACAAAGATAATATAACCCACAAATTAGAGTCAGAAAAAGGATCTTCCAAACTATAATCAAACTTTAAACTGGGCATTATGGCACACTCCTGTAATCCCAGCACCTGGGAGGCTGAGGCAGGAGAATCTCCAAGAGTTCAAGGTCAGCCTAGGCTACATAGTGAGTTCAAGGCCAGTTTGAACTACATATCAAGACCCTGTGTCAAAACACCAAAACCAAAACAAACAAACAAAAACCTTAAAATTTTAGAGATTAAATCACTAAACGAAATTCATTACAAAACACCAAATCAAAAAATAAATTCTCAGAGCAGGTCAACACTAGTCAAACTTTGTTTTAAAATGATACCACCTGGAAAAAAATGGAAACAAAGTCTTTGTAAATAGGGAAGGGTGAAGGGGGTGAAGGGAGGGCAGGGGTATGGGGAAAAAACAAGAACCAAGACTTATCATGTAAAGGTACAAGACCCCAAAGATAAATGTAACTGTATTGTTTGCTTTAAATTTACCAATAAACTTAAGGAGGGAAAAAAATGATATCACCTTAAATTTCAGAGTATAGTGCATTCAGAGCATCAGAGAATTCCCACAACTGATGACTCAAGAAAGAAAGAAATTGGAAGTATACATGCACTAAGGGGAAATGCAGTAAGATAATTTGGAACCAACAAAAACTATTTTACTGTTTCACTTCTTTCCCTCAACTTTTAAGCAATTAACTGGATATGATTCCATAACTGTGAAAGAGTTTGGAGAATTGATGGTTGGTAGTAGAAGGGATTGAGAGAAAAAATATGTCCTGGGATAATTCAAGAATACTTACTTCCTACTAACAGTAATTGTAAGGAATTCAATTACATATTATGATAACAAACATCACCTCTCCCTCTCCATGCTCATAATAAAAACATACATTTTTCTAATAAAAATAAAATCATGTGGGGCTGGGGATTTAGCTCAGCGGTTCGGTGGCCTGCCTTGCAAGCGCAAGGACCCGAGTTCAATCCCTGGTACCAAGAAAAAATAAATAAATAAATAAACAAACAAACAAACAAATAAATAAATAAATAAATAAAAATAAAATCATGTATCAAAAAATTTAAATAAGTATTTCCACTTACAGAGTTATAGTTCAAAATACTTCAAACAAACCAAATGAAAGTAATTGATTTGGGTTATCTGCTTCTTTTGGATTTCAGTTAAGCAGCCATGATTTTCCCAAAATATATCTAACATTTAAGACACCATATTAACTTAAACACATAACCTAGAACATAAAAAAAAAGGCCATGACAGTAGCATTCTAAATCAGAGGTCAATCACTCAAAAAGAGATTTTGATCATAACTAACCACATAATACATAATTACATTCAACAGTACCAGAAATCTTAAAGGCATCTTTATCCAGATACCTAACGCTTCCCTTTTTTTCCCTCTACTGCTTTAATAGCAGGTGAATTTTAAGGTAGTATTTTAGGGCCAGGGATTGGCTCAGTAAACACATTTTACATGAGTATAGTGTTTATATGTGAGAGCTTAAATTCTCCAAATTCAAAAAAGTAAATCAAATCTTTATCATAAACCATTTCAACATCAAATATGAATAAATCTCTTTAAGACCTTTTTCTTTTCTGCATGGTATTGGGGACTGAATTCAAGGACTTCACTGAGTTCTATCCTTACTCCCCCTTTTTGGAGATAAGGTTTCATTAAATCAGTAAAATTGCCCAAGCTGAGCTCAAACTTCTCAGCCTCCCGGATTGCTGGGATTATAAATGTGTGCTACCTTGCCTGGCTTAAGATCATCTTCTCAAATATGAATGTTTAAATTTTTAAAAACTTTATTCCAATAAAAAATACACTGTCGTGCCATTGACCCTCCTCTAAATACCCTTGTTTCAAACACTTACCCATTGTTTTTGCCACTTTCTGGAGTTCTGGAAGTTTCATGAGTGTCATTAGTTGTGCCATAGTGTCTGCCTTGAAGACCTGAATTAGTTCAAAACATTTACCTTTCATGATCAATTAACTTTGGGGACGAGCCAGGAACCAGGTGGTACCAGAAACAGTGAATTAAGTGGATGAGATTTTTTTATAAGCTTGCCTTTCTGAAGAATGATACTTAACAGAAGTATTTACTATATTTTTTATTAGACCTCATAAAGACACTCTTGCAACAGGATTTCCAGAACTGCTTCACAAAGTGGCAAGATGCTGGGCATGGTGGAATATACCTGTAATCCCAGCACAAAGACTGCTCCAAATTCAAGAACAACCTATACTACATAGAGAATTCAAGGCCAGCCTGAACTACATAGCCATATCCTCTCTCAAAAAGCAAAGCAAAACAAAACAAAAAACAAAGTGGCAAGAATGATGGGATAAATGTGTGTAAAGTAAAAGGGTGTGGGGGAGTATTTTGAGGGAAATTAATGGCAATGTGTCTTTTACTGTAATAAATTTGTATTTAAACAATCACTGTACATTTCAATCACTCCTTGAATATAAATTATACAATACAGTAAATAAGGTTAGCTCAGAGTTACGTTTCTCACAGACTTAACTATGTTTTCCAAGTTCACTGAATTATCTCAAAATATGTAGCTTTATTTTGGAAACTTTAAAAAAATCTAATGAGGGCCAGGCTCAGTGGTTCCGGCGTCTGCCTCGCAAAGGCAAAGGCCCAAGTTCAATCCCTGGCACCAAGAAAATAAAAAATCTAATGAATTTAGGGATATCTGATGTCACATCAAGCATCTAAAACAAAAATAATTATCTAAGAAAATTAATATTTTCTATGGAGAGGGATACTGAAGATTGAACATAGGGCTTTCACACTGAGCTACACCCCAACACCTTTTTCTTCTTCTTTTGAGACAGGGTCTTACTAAGGAGGGGCTCAAAGTTTTAATCCTCTTGCCTCAGTGTCTCAGTGCTGGTTTTACAGGCAATGCACCACCATACCTGGTTCAAAATTCTCAGTCACATTGTATCAGAATTCTCTCAAGGTAAGTAAGGTACTAAAATGGAGACTCAGAATATCAACATTTGGAAGGATTAACTCAATTTCTAATTTAAAAAAATCAAAGCAAAGCATGGTGCACACTGTAATCCCAGCACTTGGGAGGCTGAGGCTGAAGAATTGCTGCAAGTTCAAGGCCAGCCTGGGCTACATAATGAGTTCAAGACAAGCCTCAACTACACTGTGAGACCTTGTCTTAAAAAAAAAAAAAAAAAAAAAAAAAAAAAAAAAAAAAATCAGATGTAAGCTCAGTGACCAATTGACTTGTATTTTTTCAAAATAGCTATTTTTGAGAACCTAGTACATGCCAAGCATTTTATATACATTCATGACTTCATCTAATCCTGAAAATAATTATGACACTTTGAAATTAAACAAATCTAGGCAAGGAAATAAATTCCAAAGTGAGGCCACCACAGTTACATAGATAACAGTGCAAAAGCAAAGATAAAGGATTCTTGCTTCATGGTAGTCTCAGCCCTGCAGAATCCCCTTTCCTGGAACAATTGGCTGAATTTTGTCACCAATTTCTAAGGAATAGAATATGGCAGATGATGGGATGTCACTTCCAAGATTACCAAAAACCAAAATATCTTATTTTATTCTCGTCTTTGTATGCTTTCTTGCACACTTTGAAAGAAATGGTACTGTTACATGAATGGAGAGAGGCCGAAGAAAGGCCTCCAGGTTCCAAAAACAAGGAATTGAGGGCTTCAAACCAAAATATCTCACAAAGAATCAGACTGTTTCCAACTCAAGCCCTCTGAAAACAACACAGCCCTTGCCAACACCTTGATTACAGAATTGTGAGTCCTTGAACCAGAGACACAGAGTTTAAGCGTACTTGGATTCCTACAGAAACTGTGAGGTAATACAACTTTTTTGCAAGGTCATAAATAACTAATGCATTCTCTGCTTATAATTTTTCTCACCTAAGTAACATGATAACATGAGAGTTCATTTAGTGTTTTTAAATTCCTATGACCTGCATATTAATACAACCATGTGCACTTATAATTGGAAATGATGTCAAAAAAACAGCAACAACTAATACTTTATGAACCATTTACCTCCTTATTTATTGAGTAGCTTTGCATAACCCTAATCCCAGACTATGATATTCAGGCACTTCACCTGAAAACACTCCTTTAATTAGAAAGAAAGAGAATAAAATGAGGAAAGGTAAATTTTTCATTTTAAAATGAGATCTCTCTCCCCCACATGAGGATGGAAAAATCTCTTCCACGTTTCTTAAAATTATGATAAGTACATTATCAGTTCCTATGCCTGCTGTAACAAAACACCACAAACTTGGTAGCTTTAAACAAAAACACCTTATTACCTTATAATTCTAAGATTTAGTAATCCAACATCATATTCGCTGGGCTAAAAACAAGATGTGTACAGGCCTGAATTCCTTTTTTTGATACAGGGGATTAAACTCAGGTCCTTTAGCTTTCGAGGCAGGCAGTGGAACCACTAAGCCAAATCCCCAGCCCTGGATTCCTTTTTTTTTGTTGTTTTTTTGAGACAGGGTTTCACTTTGTAGTTGAGACTGACCTGAAACTCACTGTGTAGTCTAGGCTGGTCTCAAACTCACAGCGATCCTCCTGCCTCAGCCTCCCGAGTGCTGGGATGACAGGCAGGTGCCACCATACCCAGCCCTGGATTCCTTTTTAACTCAAGGAGAATCTTTATTTTTCTAGCTTCTGAAGGCTAGATGTACATCTAGGTTTGTAGGACCTGCAGCAATAAGGACAACACTACCAATGCAGCATCTTCTTTCCTCTCTTTACTTCTGCTTCTGTCCTTACCTCTTGTTCTGACTCTGATCCTCCTGCTTCCTGAATATTAAGAATCTTTGTAAATACATTGGGCCTACCCAGATAATCCAAGACAATCATTTCTGGAAAAAAATCTTCAATTTAATCACATCTATCTGCAAGTCCCTTTTACCTCAGAAAGCAAGATGTTTAGACCTGGACATCTTTGGTAAGCCAGTATTTAGCCTATTTTGCTCAAATTCTCAAATAAAGCAACAAAAAAACCCACACATTTTTTTCTTTTTAAAAAAACGTTTAATTCTTTATTCATCTTCAATTTATTTTTGTGAATCATCTATGGCAGGGTTTGAAATACTTTCTTCTAAAACTGATCATCAAATGTACAATTACCATTTATTAAACTTTTCCTGATATAAAATGCTATTCCAACATACACTACATATACAAAATTCTCATATCTAGGTTTCCTGTTTTTCTTGAATTCTCTAATCTTATTAGTCTGTTCAGCCAATTACTGACATTTTAATTGTTCTTTTTAAGTCTACTTTGAAAGATGGTGGGGTAACTCTTTTTATCATTCTTCAAAATTGTCCTGATACAGTATAAACCAAACAAATTTTAAAATGGCTTATCAAAATTCACCAAATTTATATCAGTTATGGGGAAGGGTACATGACATCTGTATTGGGTTGTCCCATTTTACTGGGTCGTCCTATACACAAACATGCTAGCACCAAAACTATTTCCAAACTATTTCTAATTGGTTCTCCAAATCCACAGGTTTATGGATTCAACTAACCAGAGAGAGAAAACATTTTTTTTAATGTTACCTTTATGCTGATGTATACTATGCAGTTAGGCCTATCTTTTTCTTGTCATTTCCTAAACAATACAATATACTAGTAACAACATTTACAATGAATTAGGTATTACTTTGCACTGTACATCTAGCAATGATTTAAAGTATGCATATAGGAAGATACTTGTTACATGCAAATACTACCCCATTTTATCTAAGAGACTTGAGCTTCCAACTGTACAGACTACTTTTCCCAGAACCATGAGCAAAGACGTTCTGAGCAATTACCACACTGAGGGCAGTGTAGTGTGGTTCTGTAAAGAAGAGGGGGTTTGGAGTTAGCTCTTGATTTTTAAAATCCTACTTCTAGCACTGACAAGAAAGTGTAATCTGGGATAAAATTACCGAATCATTCTTTTTTTTTTTTTTTTGAGACAGGGTCTCACTATGTAGTTGAAACTGACCTGGAACTCAGTATGTAGCCCAGGCTGGTCTCCAACTTACAGCGATCCTCCTGCCTCAGCCTCCCAAGTACTGGGATTACAGGCATGCGCCACCACACCCGGCTTACTGAACCATTCTGTTATCTTCATCTATAAAATGAGAAGTCAGTATTCACCTCTTTTGAGAATAGTTGTTTCTGCACTTAACAGGCACCCAACAAATTATAGGTATTATTGCCAGGACTGGTTCTCTGCTTACAATCTAGATGACTAGACTTGAGGTATACTCAGTGAAATTATAAATTTTCTTAAAATATTTTAGCACAGACAGCATGAGATTGTCTGCATGATTTTAAGCTACATCCTAAGCATAGTTATCTCTATAAAGAAATCATATTCCAGGTAGTCTTGCTAACTAAGCACATAGGCTATTCTCTAAAGGGACTATAAGAGGTTATTAGAAGTGCTTCAACTATCTTTTAGCCCTGATTAACTCCAGACATTTTGCTAATAACAAAATCAATGGTTTGCTTCTGAAAATATACTCTCAGTGGTATAATGAAGAGAGTACAAGAAATGTAGGTTAGATAATATATTTAAATCTCTTTCCCTATCCTTTTTTATGACAGCTTGTCTGGAGGTTCTAGCAGGGGAGCACAGCTACTCAAACACCCTTGATGGAGGAAACTCCATCCTTTTCATGACTAATGCAAGCATCTTTGGTCTATTTCTCTAGGAAAAGCACCCAAATTTTGATCCCTAAATGGTTCTGTGTATAACCACGGGGCCAAAAGACTTTCTATGATACTATCCACAATGGTAACAAAATTCTATCTCTAAAATAAATTGTTGAATTCTGCCTGAAATCAATCTTTCACCAAAATGCTGTCAGGTTGCCTTTAGAACAAAAGCTGGCACTTAATCAACCATCACAAAGATTTATGAACTATTTTGCATTTAAATCACTGTGCCATGTTCATAACGTGGATAGAACTTTTTTTTTTGGGACTTTTTTTTTAACTTAAGGAGTTTAAAGTAACCATTATCTGAATTAATGGGAGTCAGAATGGATGATGTTTTACTGTATTAGAAAATATTCCAAACCAGGTGTGGTGGCGCACACCTACAATCCCAGCACTTGGGAGGCTGAGACAGGAGGATCACTGTGAATTTGAGGCTAGTCTGGGCTATATAGTGAGTTCAGGGCCAGCCTGAAATACAAAGGGAGACTCTGCCTCAAATCAAAACAAAGCATAAATATGAAATTCTTGTTCAGATTTACATTGTAAACAGAATATTGATATACTTGAATATATTTGTGCAGTTGTAAAAAATAGGGCATAGAAAGCAAAGCAAATTCTTTGCAGTTTTTCTTTATTATTATTTTTGAGACAAGGTCTTGCTATATAGTTTGAGCTGGCATTGAACTCACTATGTAGCCCAGGCTGGCCTTGAACTTACAGTGATCCTCCAGTCTCAGCCTCCCAAGTGGCAGGATTACAGGTGAGTGGCTTCTCTGCAGTTTATGTAGAATTTATGCCACGTAGGAGAAAACGTATTTGTTATCTTTAGGTTAGGAACTGTTTTGCAAATTTGTACTTATTTAGGAGAAGATCTAAATCTAAAGAAAAATTTCTTTAGAAAAAAATTAGAGACAGATTTTTTTTTTGTTTGTTTTTCGAGACAGGGTCTCACTATGTAGGTGAGACTGACCTGGAACTCACTATGTAGCCCAGGTTGGTCTCAAACTCACAGAGATACTCCTGTCTCAGCCTCCCCAGTGCTGGGATTACAGGCATTCGCCACCACGCCTGGCTAGGATTTAATGTGTAATATAAACATTTCACAAGCTGGATTATAAACTATGATCTTTGAATTTAAATTTCGGTCTTTGCATTTTTTATTCCTCCTTAGTGAGGATTCTGTAAAGATGAAATTTCAACTCTTTATTTAGGTACTGGGGATCGAACTCAGGCCCTTGCGCTTGAGAGGCAGGGGGTCAGAACCAAATCCTCCTTGGCCCTCAACTCTTTAAAGAGCAAGATTGCTTCACAAACATGGACAGTCTTCAAAATTAGTATATGAGCAGGCCGAGGATTTAGCTCAGTGGTTCTGCTGCCTGCCTTGCAACGCAAGGTCCTGAGTTTGATCCCCAGTACCAAAAATAAAAAAAAAAATAGTATATGAATATAAATATTGAAAATAAATACTGAAAATTGGAAACTGGATCCGAGGGCTCTGATAGGATCATTTGGCTAGAAGTAGGTATAGAAGAAATATAACAAAGGAGTGTTAGGTTTAAGACAACATATTGGAGTATGCTGAATAAAGTAGTGGCAATTCAATAGAATTTCAAGGAGATTTAATTGTACTGGAAGATGATGGGTGATTATAGGTAATAAATGTATTTATTTGAGGAATAGGTATATGACTTAAGAATGGAAGTTTAATTTCAATTATTTCTATTTGTGTTGTGATTCATGATTTTAGAGTACTTTAATATATAAGAATTTTGTGATATGGGCTGTATTTTCATTTTATACGATCTACAGCTAAAGGAAGAAGTTCAGGTTAACTTAGAAGTTACAAAAAAAAAAAGAGATCAAGCTAGTTAAAAATGACAAGTTTTTTTTTTTAATATGACTTCATTCAATGATATGAACAGAACATAGTACTTATGAACATTTACAAAATTCCTTAAATTGTCAAAATAATTTGAGAAAAATAAGTATCATTCATTCAACTAGCAGGCAGCAAAACATGCCCATCATCACAAAGTGAAATAACTAAGCCAAAGCCCAAGCCTTCTAAGACTAAATCCAACTTTTTAAAAAATAGCTGACCTAAGAGGGAAGGCTATCAAAGTTCTCAAGCCCCATCACTGTCAAAATAAAACATGGTGAGCCGGGCATGGTGGCACACACCTCTAATCCCAGCACTCAGGAGGCTGAGGCAGGAGGATCGAGTTCGAGACCAGCCTGGGCTACATAGTGAGTTCCAAATCAGACTCAACTGTCTCAAACCCCCCCCCAAAAAAAACCAAAGCAAACAAACAAACAAACAAAAAATCATGGTATATCTATTTTTAAAGCTCTTAAGACTCTAAATAGAAACACAACCGAGGATTTAGCTCAGTGGCATTTTGCCTGCCTTGCAAGTACAAGGTCCTGAGTTCAATCCCTGGTACAAAAAAAACACATACATGATAATTCTCTCTTCCCATATAAAAAAAACGTATTTTCAAAATATTTATACTGACAGGTGCCATTCTCAAATACTGTACAACTGTACAGCATTATATTTTCTTCTACTACAAACACAAAACATTTGTCACTGATTACAATTCATCTATAATTTTTAAATAAAAATTACCAAGCACTCACTCAGTGTTCTTTACTCACCTAGACAATGTTGTTTTTCCAGAACCAGGCAGACCTCTTAATAGAATAAGTAATTTCTGCAATTTATTTAACTTTTCTTCTTCAAACTGCTGATTTATAAACCTGTCCATTCCATTATGCTTGTCCACAGGAGGCTCTTCCCAGCTTCTTTCTTTGATTTCACATAAACCGTTACTCCCATGTCCATCTTGAACACTGTAGACATCTCTAGGGGGAAGAACATTTCTGCTATTTTCAGTATAGTCAGTATATTCATTTTTCTGATCAAAAGTCAAATAATTCCAGTTAACACGACTATTTACATCATACCCATTTTGCATTTGATAGTCATCTTGAGCATGTAAAATATTCAGTGATGGATTTGGTGGAGCACTGAATCTTTGAATACTTAAATGATAGTTAAATCTGGGAAGAGGAGGACCATGGGGTACTATGAAAGGATGCACTGCTTCCCATTCAGGCCTGAAAGAAGTAAATGAAGTATCACAAAATGTAGGTATCACTTGTCCATCATAGGTATATTTGCCTGGCTCATTGCCCAAATATTGTTGGTAACCATAATGTGACTGACGAGCACTATTAAGATCTTCAGTTGCTTCATCAGATTTTAAGACATCATTATTATAGCCCTCATAATATGGAAGAAGTTGCTCTTGAGATGGTTCAGATTCCTTATAACTAACTTCTGAATTGTCTCTTTCATTTTCAAGCTCCTCAATTTCTTTGTAAAACTGTGACAATTCAGTGTCAATCTCTAATTTCTTGGTATAAAATTTCTGGTTTTTTTCTTGTCTTCTTTTGGCATTTGTACCATTGCGAGTGTCTGTCTCATTCCTTCTTTCATTACATTTCTTTTTCTCTGGGGGTTTGTAAATGGGTCCTATAAATGCTTTACTTGTACTATATATGTCATCATCTGTTGATACTAATGGAGATTTTCCATTCTGTAAAATTTGTGAACCAATGGATTCAATAACATGTAGTCTATTACAAGGCATCTCATTATGCAAAGGTTTCTGCAAATCTGTAGTTTGGGTTTTGTCCTCCTGAAGAAAATCAGCACTGCCCCGATGTGGGAAAACATAAGCTTTTGCATCTGACTTCAATTTTTTATAGCATGGTTCATTTGTTAGTTCTTTTCTAGTACCCAAGAAGTTGGCTTCAATTTCACCATAAGGCATCTAAGGAGTAAATAAATCACACAATAATTAACTAATGTTTAAAAAAAATATAAACCAATATTTCCCCATAAAGAATCCCAAAAAGACAATCCATCGAGTATTTAATAGTAACATCTCCCAAAGTACAAGAGTAAAATTGTAATTTTATTAACACTTATTATTTAAGTATTATCATGATTTATGGGATGGGTCTCACTGAAATTAATACCCTTTTTTAAAAAAACAAGTTTCATTAAGCAATCTACTTCTGAATTGAGAATGAAGAACTTCAGTTTGGAAAGATGAGTCAATAGTACATATTTTAATGATACAGATACACAACTGTGTATAGAAAGAGAGTAAAACTGACTAGCAAATTGACATTTATAGCCAAGCTAGCTATTATAAACATTTTCCTGTCCAAAACCACTCTTATGTCCTTTGGAGTATATGGTTTTAATTTCCAAATTCAAACAACCACATATGTCTTTGGCATCCAAATGTTAGATAAACTGAAATGCAGTCTTTGTGCGCACTATTCCTTGTGAAAAGTGCAAAAGCAGTTCCCACACGGATATAAAGTGGCAATTTGAAAGAAAAAGAAATAACTTTAAGTTGCACTGTTGAGGCAAATATATTATGTTTGAAGAAGAGATCTGGTAGTTATCCCAAATCAAAGCATTTGGCTTTTCCAGCTGACTGGTCTATCTCATAAAATAAACTTTGCTTCTCTTGAAATGTATTAGGACTACTCAAGAGTACAATCTAAAAGCTTGTTCTGCTCAAAACTATTTCATTCTGTCTGCTCTCTATTATTCCTCTCCAACACGAAGAAAAACATAAAGGGCATAAAGATGAACTAGTGATTGATACAAATTGGCCAAGAAAGGCTAAAGGAAGCTACAACTTTGGAGAACGCCATACTCTGGAAAATAGCCTCCCACCTCAGCTACCTCTCAGCTTTCATTTCCTCATTTAAAATGTCAAAAGAGTCCCGAGGAAGAGCAAGAGAGCTGCGTTAACGCAGTGTGGCCTATACACAACCTTAGAACCCTCGCCTATACTCCTGACCTCCAAAGTAAGCTGCTTGGATAAAAGTGCATAGCCCACTTTCTTTGTCCCAAAGGAGACATATTCAAGGTCCTGTCTAGGAACTGTGAGGTCTCCGAGACTCAGAGGTTAACTCCTGGCTTCTATAATAAATTTAAGGGACGAAGCGACCTGGAGAGAACCGAAGCCGCTAAGGGCCAAAGGAAGAAACAGAAAACCTCACCAACCCACCCTCACCTAAAATGGGCCGTCTACTCACCTTCTTGTACAGGCTCTGCCAGGACCTTTACTCGCCCAAAAAAAAGAAATTCTCCTACAAGACACAAACCTCCGTCACAGTGAAAAAACACTCAAACACCACCACAAAGCAGAGGGAGAAACCAGAAGTCCAGCCGTCAAACTCTGAGGCAATAACCGCACCTCCGTACGCAAGATGGCGACCACCTCACAGTTACCAAGGCAAAAATTACGGATTCCGGCCAGGCACTGTGGGAATTGAAGTCCACCGTTCACGGTGGCCCTGTGAACCTCGCTACATGAAGACTCGGTCTCCCAGGATCCATTGCGTGATCTACCTACACCTCGGCTACTATCGTAGACCGGAAGGAGTTCCTAGAACCGGAGCTGGGAAGTTATTTAGAAACCTTAATTTTGATTAAAAAAAAAAAAAAAAAAAAAAAAAAAGAAGCATCGACCTCCTCTCGTGTTCACCCCTGAAGGAAAGAGAAAATGAGTTCTTAGCTCTCCTAAAAAGATGCAGAAACTTATTACAGTGTATGAATTTTCCGGCTTTTGAAAAGAATCAGCTAACTTTTCAAAGAGGGCTCAACATTTCATATTGCAGAACTGGGTAGTCACCATTTCCAGAAAACCACCAGGCATAATTTTAGGCTCATACCTTCTGTCGAAGAGAAGCCCTGCAGAGCACAGACTCCATAACTAATAGAAATACTTATGGGAAAAATCATTCAGTGTCTTAACTTTTTTGTTTTGTTCTATTTGGAGAAATAAAGACCAATCACTGAGCTTTACCATCAAAAGTTATGTGAAAAGTACTTAAAATAGGAAGCTTATGGTAGGAATAAGTGCTGTGTGTTTAAGAAACACAAACAAATTACTGGCAATCCTAAATTGAGGGTACCCTTTTCTCTTCCTGCCATGTCCCACATCCACTCCCACTAGACTGGCTCCCTCCACTCCCCATTCTTTTGGATCCCTACAAGGGAAACTACCAATCTCTACCTATATAAATCATTTTCTTGGGGGCACTAACATGATAATCTTCTAATTTGCAAAAATAATAGTTTAAATTCACAGTCCCTAATAGTTGCACCTAACTTCATTAATACTGTTGTGACCAAGAGAGCTCATTAGAGCTCATACAAAGTTCCTCAAACATAAATTCCCACTGTGACTTTTGTCTATTTGATCATAATTCAAGTTATGCATCCCTCTTTGAACCAAGTATGAAAATGAGGTTGTGGCCTTTTCAGGGTATTACATCCAGAGTCACAGGATGTCCATTTTAATATGGTATTAATCTCCCCCCCCACCTTGAACCCAGGACTTTTGACTGAGATTTTTTTTTTTCCTCTAGAGACAAGTGGATTCCTGAGGTCTAGGGCATAAATAGCTTCCCCCACCTCTCCTCAGCCTAGATAAAGAAACAGAATATGCAGATACTGACACCTGGAAGCCTGGAAGCCAATTTTCTTTCCTCAAGAAAGAATACAATAGCTAAAGATGTCTAAAAGTGATAAGAAAGTGTGGGTGTATTGCTTGTGTCTGGATGTTCCCCCAAAGCCTCAAGCAGTTATAGGTGGAGCGTTTCAGAAGTGGCTGGATGTGGATATGTGATGATGGGATTAAGGGTGTGTGCTTACTAAATTAGTCCACTGATTGGTTTGACATAAGTAGTTCTGGGTGTGGATAATGGGAATGCCCATCCTAGATATGAGTGCAGATACTCTAGATGGAATATAAGGGATAGAAAGAGAGCTGTGGCTGTTGCTTGCCTCTGCCGCTTTGCTACTTTACTGCTTTGCTGCCTTCTGCCTGCCATGAACTGTTTCTCCTATGTAATGCCCCTCTACAATATCACCTTTCCTTGGAGCCAACCATGAAGTGAAACTGCTAGAAACTGTAAGCTACAATAAACCCTTTCTCTTTTAACTTTGGGTGTCAGGTATTTTGTCTCAGCAATGAAAAAGTAACTATGACAGTGGTGATCTGCATTATCTCTCTGCACTCCCTCCCTGTCCTCTGCTCCTTACTATAAAATATCCTTGCATGTAAATAGTGAGGTAGTGATTTGAGGCAAATAAGCCCCTCCATCTCTTCAGAGAGGGCTTTAAATAAATCCTTTTTCCTTTTTACCCAAATGTATGGCCTCCTTTGATTTGGTGAGAGTCAAGTGGTTGAACCTAAGTGATTGGTAAGAGTTTCTGTATGGTTTTGATCTAAAATGTTCCCCAGAAGTCTCACATGTTCAGAGATGGAGCTTTTGCAAGGTGATTAAGTCATGGGGGCACTACAATGATCAATGAATTAACCCATCAGTGAGTTCATAACTGAATGTGTGCTGTTAGGAGATGAGGCCTGGTTAGAAGAGATGTATCTCTGGGGTATGACCTGAAAGAGTATATTCCTGTTCCCAGCTCTTCCCTTCTCTCTCTCTGCTTAGTGGTTGCCATGGGTTTAATAACTTCCTTCCCCTGGCCCTTCCACCATGCTTTTTCTTCCTTGGAGCAAGCCAACCATGACCAGAAACCCCTGAAATCCTGGGCTAAATAAACCTCTCTTCCTTTAAATTGTGGGGGTCAGGTATTTTGTCCCAGTGATGGTAACTAATAGAGTCTCACCAGAGTATTCCCTTACATTTAGTTACTATGTTTCTTTAGGTTGCTTTTGGCTTCCATTGTTTGTTGTAATTTACTTATTGAGATAAGGGAGTGGCAGGACTCAACAGTCCAAGCAGGTTTATTAACAAACCTTAGAGGGACCTCTCTGATCTAGCAAGCAGAAGTGAGAAGGTGGTGTTACAGGCTCAGGGGAGTTTAAGGGTTTGGAAGGGGTGAAAGCGGTTTCTAACAGGAGATTTCTAAGAGTCTTAGCAGGGGACTTTTGATTCCCTGTTTTTGGTAATCTGGCTATGTCACCTGGGAAACCAAAGGTTAAATAAATAGACTTAGATCTCCTGAAATGGTGAGCTTTAGTCAAGATAGCAGTACTCCCATCCTGTCTTGATCATTGCAATCTCTAAAAGGTTATAGGGATACAAGCTGCCATCTGTAGTCTGGCTGCTTCCTGCTAATCAAGGCAGTGAGGGGATCCTTGGAGACAGACTGACTGGAGCATAAATGCTATCTTGAGATGTTTTGGGTAATTGCCCTGGAGATGGCCACCATGCATTTCTGAAAAAATATTTGTAATAAATTGATTATACAAGGCAGAATAAAGCAAGGACAACAATAATAAGAGTCACAAGGGCCAGGGATTTAGCTCAATGGCACTGTGTGTGTCTCAAAAGCACAAAGTCCTGAGTTTGATCCCTGGTAACTAAATAAATAAACAAATAAATAAATAATGAGAGGAGTCCAAAGAGGGAGTAGCCATAGAGCAAGAGGGACAGGATGTTTTGGAGCTGCTATTTAAAAGTCTTAAATCTTGGTCTTTGAACCTCTTAGCTCCATCTCTATCTCTTATTTGTGAGTGAAGAAGCAACATTGCTTTTGTAGGAGGGTGCAGATACCTCTATGAGAGGCCACGAGGATGGATATCTAGACCTCAGCAAATTTGAAGGACTACAGAGGCTAGGGAATCTTCCTGGTCTTGGAGGTGTCCTAGCTGGTCAGAGGCTTCTCAGCCCCTCTACTAGCTCCTTTGAGAGACAGGTTAATTCAGACAGGGAGACTCCCAGACCCCCTAGTCTAGTAACGGAGTTGTTTTGTCTCTGGTGACACAGAGAAGGACTTTGTGGGCCAGGGTTAGTACTGAATGTGATGGGCCTATAATGAACTGTTGTGAGAACCAGAGGATTTTGAAGGTCTGATGGATTCCTCTTAGGTCTCTTTGGAGCCTAATATGAAAATTATCAGCCAGAGTAGTGCCCCTTGTGTTAGCTTTTTCAGAGGCAAATAGTCCAGCTGGGGTGGAGACCCAGGATCCAAGGTGGACAGGAAAACCTGCCACTGGGTCAGGGAGAGGCAGATATGGTGAGGTCATTGAATGGAGCCATTATACTTTGAGTGATTTTGACAGTCTGAGAGCACAAAAGGAAATAAAGAAAAACCTCTATTTGAGTGGGAGTAAAACCAAAAAGGGACCCCTGAAGCCAGAGATCACAGAGAATCTCTAGAAGATTGCTCTGAGAGAAGCAAAGGAGTAGTTTTTCTGCCAGAATACTAGAAATGCTTTAAAAGAAGTTGCAGAGAAAAAGCATAACTTTTGTGGGGGCAGACGTTCATGATCAAGTTAAAGTCAGATCTGTGTTAATCAAGATTAATCTCTTGCTAGCTATCAAGATCAGTTAAGGTTCCTCAGGCCTTTACTTTTGGAAACGTGCAGAGTTGTTGGAGACCAGGAGAGAACTGAGGCGTAACTAACTGGCTTCCTCTCTGAGCACAAAAGAGAAAGGCTCAACTCAAGGATGATTGCATAGTGCGGGTTCTAGGGAAAACTTAAGACAGCTGAGGTTAAGTTGTTTACCAGAGTATGGTCTAAGGGGCATTGACGGCAGATGAATCTTGTGTTACTTTGATTGCTTATACTTCTATTTGGGTGAATAAAGGCAAGATGAGCCAGATGCCTGGAGCTCCTCTGCCTACTAAGAGACAAGAACCCCCTGGCTGCCTGCATGTTAAACTGACTCCTTGTCTCTTTGTCATTCATCCTCATTCACCCCTGTATTAGGGAACAAAGTAGTGGGTCTAGGTCCTGAAACAAGGCTGGCTGGGTGGGACAACTACAGGTGGCACCTCAACATAGGCTTGGGACCCAGGCTCAGCTACGCAGAGCCTTTCAGATCATCTGTCAGTGTCAGCCCAGAGGACAGTTCATGGTCTTGCTTGACCGTGTGGATTTCAATAGAAGCATGGAGATGTTTTTCTCTCTGGTAACCCTCTTTTTAGCATACTGTATATTTGTTGACTCCTGTCCTCTGGAATCCAATAGTCTCCCTATATAGGAGGTTAGGTGACTTACCGAAGTTGTAGGATCCTGTAGAAAATATCCCCTCCATGGCCTTTGTTGACCTTGGAGGGCCAGAACCAAAATATCATAGGTTTAATCCTATGATCTTATTTAGATATCAAGTACATTGAAATACACAGCATGATCAGGGTACTGTTATTTCCTTACAAATTATGGTTGTTTTACAGATTTAATTCCTATAGAATGTTAACATAACGATTACAGTGGACCCTCAAGTTATGATTGGTCTGACATAGGAATAACTTGGGTTAATTAGGTTAGACTGCCTCTTTTTATCTATAGTGTATACCCAGGAAAACATCCAGATCTCAGCTGTATTGATTTTTTTTTTCCCTATACCAGGGATCAAACTCAAGACCTTGTGCTTGCAAGGCATATGCAGTGCGACTGAGCTAAATCCCTGGCCTGTCAACTGTATTGACTTACAATCAACTTGAGCTACAAGCAGCCCTTGGTAACTGATTGAATTCATAAGTCAAGGGTCTATTAAAGCTTTGTAGGGAAGAACTGAGGTCAAAGGCTATAGGGAGTTACCTAACCTACAAAGCTCCAGGCACCTGAGGACCCTTAAGGACATGACCCCCACCATCTAGTACGTGCACATAATGGAACACAATTATGTAGGCATGACTTAGCAGAGACTACCGCATATGTGATATGCAGTTATGTAAGGACATAATGATGTAAGGCTGTGTAGTGGCCTATATAAGAGATGAAGAAAAAAAATGTTTGCTCTTGGTGTTGTTGCTGATGTGAGCTCTGCATGCTCTCTTTACCCAGCAGACCTCACTTGTAAAAATATCCGTTCAGCCCTTCTCAACTCCAAAAAGGGAAATATAACATTTTAGCATAACATGATGACATGATGACATCATTATATTAAATGACATGAAGAAAATTTTACCTAAATTTGTCATCCTTCCAGAGTGCCATTTAAGAAAACTGTATCTGCCTGTAGATGTACCTATGTACCTTATGTGACATTGTCTGGACTGCACATTGTTTGGGAATTTCTTTTCTTTCTTTTTTTTTGATACATGCATATATTTAATAATGAAAGAAAGCATTAACAACAAAAATTAGAAAAATTCAGAGACCTCAGTGCTGTGGAAAAGAAGGAGACATTAAGCAAAAAGCAACTGACCCAGAAGGCTGTATGATGCATGAAGCAAAGTCAAATGTGGCAAAAATAGCATTGTACACTCAAATGGTGAAGGACTGCAGAAGCATCCACTTGTCTGGCTCCTTGGTAGCAGGCAGTCTTACTGTATGCTGCATAGAATGGAGGCAGTGAGCCAGAGAAAGGGAAGAGAGAAGCACCATCTAGACCTGGGGTAATCAGATGGAAGAAATTGAGACAGAATTATGAAGAGATAACTTTAAGGTCTTTTGCTTTCTCCAAAGTCTAAATTCTTAAGTTTTTTTGTTTTGTTTTATTTTTTTGGTACCAAGGATCTAACTCAGGAACTGTGCTTTCAAGGTAGGCATGGTGACACTGAGCTAAATTCCTTGCCCAAGTTCTTAAGTTTTTAAGTATGTTGGTCAAATTTAATGATCACATAGTGGGTAGCACTAGGCACTGCAACAGAACATGGGGGAAATGGTTTATAACAATAAATGAATAACATGGATCCTGCTGTCACAGACCTTACAGCTTAAATGAGGAGACAGATCCCAGACAAATAACAACTACAAAACATATTTACAAAATAACATACATACAAATAAATACCCATATGAATAACCAACATAGGAAAGCTAAGGGGTAATATGTCAGTGATCACTTGAAGTCCTTAGGTCAGTCACCAAAGCCTTCCCGAAGGAAAAAATGTTGGTCTTTTAATTATGTTATAATGTCTCTCTTTATAGTACAGCATGTGCAAAGGTATATAAAGAGGAATGGATAGGGCATGTGTAGTAAGCAGACTGGCTTGATTAGAGTACAAAGTCCAATTAGGTGTAGTTAAGGAGTAGGATGAAATAGTGGAGATCAATTAGGTGAAAGATGCTGCAATGTTTGAAATGGTTCCTAGAACAAATGAATAAAGAACTAATGTGTTTGTCAAGTAAGGGTAAGTGGCCATGCATCCAGGACCAATTCCACAGCTCTCAAAGTTTGGCAGTTACTCTAAGAGATAGACATTACCAATAGGATAAGAAGAAGTATTCAGCTTCCTTGGGCAAGTTGAAGTAACTGCCTTGTGAGAGAACTCTTTCAAAGTGTCAAGACCCCTCAAGGCAATGAAGTTAAAAACAAACAAACAAAAAAACCCTACACAGATGATCATCTTCAAAAGGCAAGCCAGAGCCTGGTAATCTCAAGTGTTCAAGCAGGATATCCTTGACCCTTATTACTTACCCTTACTCCTAGTGGGGAGCAGAATGTGTATTCTTATGAAGTTATTTTTGAACTACCTTGACGATCAACTTTGAACCTCACATTTTATAAACTGAGGATGAAAAGAGCCCTAATCTATAGGGAATGCTCATGTCCCTGAAGGAGGACAGGTCAGTAAGGGCACCAATTCTCCCCTGGTCTTTAAGTGGAAAGGCAAACATCACACCTTAAGAGAGGCTGTACTCAGCCAAAACGAGTAAGACCTCTTTCTTTAAGCTATTGAACTGACACTGTTCCAGGAAGGGGGGAAAACAAAAAGGTCGGGCCAGATGTTTAGCAGCAGCCGGAGTCAGACCCCACATCCCGAGAGTTCCGCTGGCAGGCATCCAGTCCGGCTGATGTTAAAATTGACTGCTGGGGCCCAATCTTGATGCCATTTGCCTCATTGTGAAAATCAAATAAACCCTGTTGGATCTTCCTATAGATTTCTTTGGCTGAGTTAATGAAGGCCTCTTCAACATTAAAGGCACTTTTGGCTGAAGTTTCCATGAATATTAATCCATGCACCCAAGCAAAGGCCTCTCCTTCCTCTCTCTTCACATCCCTATGGGACTCTAAATCACTCTTATTCCCAATTAGCATGATAACCATATTGGAGCTGGAGTGTTGGCGGGCGTCTTCTAACCATGAGGTCAGGTGATTGAAAGTTTCACGCCTTGTAATGTCATACACAAGGAGTGATCCCTCTGCTCCCCTGTAGTAGAAACAGGTGATAGAACAGAAGGATTCTTGCCCGGCTGTATCCCAGATTTGTAATTTAATCTGTTTTCCATCAACATTGACCATAGAAGCCCCAAACTCCACACTTATTGTGAGGTCATGGACGGGCTGGAACCGCTTATCTGTAAACTGCAGGAGGAGACATGACTTCCACACACCTGAAGGAGGATTCCTGTTTGGGAATTTCTAAGTGATGTCAACCCATACATAACATATACATAACAATGCTGACTGTGTCATGATAGATTGGCAATCAAATTTATCACTAGTAGATGGAATATAAGTCAGGGAAAGTCAGATATTTGAGCCTAAAAGTTTATTACCATAAACAACTTTAGCCTGGAAGTTGCCATTATGGTGAGATGTTTTCCAGTTTTGTATCTCTGAAGACCTGTACACTTGGAAAACATGAATACATTTAATGTACCATGAAGTTAGCAATGAGTATTACAAACCAGGTTGGAACTGTCCAAGGAGGCAGCTCTGACCCATTGTTTTTCTTTTCTTTATTTCAGTACTGGACTTGAACTCAGGACCTTGTGCTTGTGAGGCAGGTGCAGGGCCACTGAGCTAAATCCCCAGCCCTGCCCCATTGTTTTTCATTGACCAGTCTTGATGTCTCTGATAGTTATGAAGAAAAGCTCATGTCCCAGTATCACTTTAAGAAGCAAGAGCTAAAATATTTGTCTAAAAGCTCCAGTTAGACCTAAGAGGAGAGTTGGGACAAGGAAGAGTGTTTTCAGGTTGTTACATTGTAAATTTGGCTGGCTCTTAATTCTCCAAGTCAATTTTGAAAGTGTCTTATCTCTGCTGAAGTAGCAGAACAAATTAATCCTGTAATTGTAGTCTAGGACTTTACAAGGCACAAAATATGTTTTAAGCATATCAATTAAAAATACTCAAATTGGAAGCCAAAAGTAAATTTACCAATTTTTGTTTCCCTAGGCCTTTCTGTTTTTTATTTTCAGTTTGTAGAGGAAGGCAGCAACATGGGCTGCTACAAGACAGTGCTGCTGCAATAGAGTGGCAGGAGGACAAGGGAGAAGGGGTAGAAAGTTGAGCTACTTCAATGGATCTCTGAGCTGTATCTGAAGCTGTGTTGATGATGGCTCGAGAGAGGTAGGAGGAAGCCAATGTCGGGGATGGACCAGGGTTTGAATTTAAGGGGTTAAGTGTGGGTTATGAAAGGATAAAAAGTTTTTTCCAGTAAGAGTGTCTGGTGGGCGGAGTAAATTTGACAGAGAGGGACATGAACAGAGAGTGAAGAAAGCCTGAGAAGGAAGGAAAGAAAGAAAGAAAGAAAGAAAGAAAGAAAGAAAGAAAGAAAGAAAGAAAGAAAGAAAGAAAGAAAGAAAGAAGGAAGGAAGGAAGGAAGGAAGGAAGGAAGGAAGAAAGAAAGAAAGAAAGAAAGAAAGAAAGAAAGAAAGAAAGAAAGAAAGAAAGAAAGAAAGAAAGAAGAAAGGAAGGAAAGAAGGAAGGAAGGAAGGAAGGAAGGAAGGAAGGAAGGAAGGAAGGAAGGAAGGAAGGAAGGAAGGAAAGAGGGCCTCGGGATTTAGCTCAGTGGTTCCGGCAACTGCTTTTCAAATTCAAGGACCTGAGTTTGATCCCCAGTACAAAAAAAAAATAATAAGAAGAAAAGAAAAGAAGAGAAAGAGAAAGCAAGCAAGCCAGCCTGACATCCCTTACCACCACATTTATCAAGGTATTCTTTAGAAGGCAACCCAAAGGGGTCCATCTTCCATCCTACTCCATTCTCTCTGGAAATCCACCAAAAATTCAGTCCTGTAGGACCTCGTAAGGATCTGGGATTCTCTATGTGGCCCAACTGAAAGGGAATAGTGACACTCAACAATTAGGCCACACACACACCGAGAGGTCTGACTGGAGATTTTATTCAAGGGATGGGAGGAGAGAGAGAGAGAGAGAGAGAG